ACTTTACCCTAAGATATTAGAACATATAAGAAAGGCAAAGTAAATAAATTTGAAAGTAAAATCTGACAAAATTAGAAAACCAGAATGAAAATTCCGATCTTCCAGTGAACGCCACTCAATAGCTTTGCGATGACATATTTTTACGTTCGCTACAAATGCATCATTCGTAGGAGCTAGACTACATGGTTTTGGTGAGGATGATGTCGATACATTTCCAGTTTTGGATGCCTATACCTTCCAGCGTGTTTCAATCACCGATTTGCAAGAGCTCGGTCCAAAACAAGCTTACAGTGGAATCGCCAATCGAGGAAAGAACAACCGTTGACATTAGTCAAACTACGGAGAAACGTATGTCAATTATCATTGAAATCCTGCCAGCTCATGCTCTTACTGGATGTGATACGGTTACATGCGGCTACGTCGTGGGGAAATCAACACTTTTGAAAGTGGTTAGAGCTTGATTGTATTCACGCTCAATCGTCGGAGTAATAGACACCCCAATAGAACCATTGCTTACACAGTTACACAGGTCACTGTATTTATGTCAGCTTTTTATGGACGGGGTTCTAGAAATATGTCTAAAACACGCTGGAGGGTGTGGACATCTAAAACTGGAAATGTATCGTCATTATTCCCCATCCAAACCATGTAATCTTGTTCAACGAATGATACATTTGCAGAGAACGTAAAAAGATCGGAATCCACCGGAACTTGATCTGGAACAATATTGCTGGGAGAAGGATACCAAATTGAGAACATTACAACCGGCCAACTTGCTCCGGAGTCTGCCATGTGGCTCATCAGATGTAACAGCTCATGTAGTACGTGTGCCTGTATCGATCAGCACTAGCGCTTGTGCTGTCACAGGTTGCAGCCAGAAACACGACTGAAGGATTAAACTGGATATTACCTAGTTTTGTGGAGGTTATGTTCCTGTTTTGCGGGTAGAATTTTTTTCTTTTAAATTTTCAACAATCAGCTTCTGCCTCCCTTTTCAGGACCGACCCATGTGGCCCTGCAGCCCCTGATAGGGATGTATGTGGTGTTATTCTATCACTCATACGCTCCTATGTCTAGAAATATATAGTTTGTCTCTAGATATAGTTTGGTTCGGTGAAAAAATTGCCCCCAACCGCCGCTAACTAGTTAAAGGGCCATATTGTCTGGCGTGTTTGATTTTGCTATCATCTTATCACCCCACAACATAATACATGATTTCAGTGTATCCCTTGACCCCATAAACATACGGTTAGACACCAAAATTATCATCCTAGAATAAATACTATGGGAGCTATAAGGGATAATTATTTGATGTGGCGGCCGTCTTGGACGCCATCTTGAATTTCTCAAAACGCTCAAGTGTGACAGAGGGTCACTCAGCAGATTCTGAAAGAGGACACCATAGTCTACTAAAATCAATCATTAAAAAAACTTTGTAGATAATTTCCAGGTTCACTCGAAAAATTTGGTTTGGCGACCGGACAATGAAGCTTGGGAACGTAATATGTGTATACACAATTTCACAAAACATTTCTGCATCCGATGTCTTTAAATGACAGCCAAACTTTATATTTCCCCCACACGTAGGGTGGACATTCACTGTTTGTTTCTGCACAAAATGTAAAGAGAAAGCAGAGACTAACTTAAAAGCTGATAGAGAGATGAACGATGTAGACATTTATAAACAATAGATTGCCAACAAAAACAAACTTGGAAGAGCTTTGTCATCGCTGATTATATGTATCAGCTATTAGCAAACGAAGTAACGCCAAAACACAACGTTGTTAAACGCTGAGTATCAATAGGGTTCGACTCTAATGCTTCAAACCAAATGTATAAATTTGTTGAAAACTGAAGTCTCTATCTCGTTGACAACGATTTCGCTAGAGGGTTCGACCTCTCATGATCTCAATGATTCACACAAAAATTTGATTTCGTTAGAGGGGAGATAAATCCAGAACCAGAAGTCACAGAACGCTAGATATCAATGAAGTTAATATGCGCATCACCCCATTGCTTCCAGCCAATTTAAAAAAACAACTCCGTATAAAACTATAGCTTTTATCGCTTTCACAATGCTCTCGGCATGACCCCGGAACATAGAGTTGTGGGAAGCAGCATATCGATAGGATTAGTCTTCAGATAATCACCAAATTCGAAAATTTGGAAAAGAGGGCATAACTCTGGTGTGTCCTCTAATGACCACAATGCTTCAATCTAAACAAAAAAAACCTATAGCTCTATCGCGTTCACAAGGTTTTCGGCAAAGGGGATGAGGGAAACCGAAAGTCGCAGAACGCTGAAAATCATTAGTTTTCAGACCCCAATGCTTCCCACCAAATCTGTTAAAAGTTATAGCTTCAAGAGATAGAGGGTTTGACTTTTATTGTAATCTATGCTTGAAATTATGTAACCAGCTTGATATAAAACTGTAGAAACCGTACTTTTATTCCTGTTATCTTGTTTGTTAATCATACGATGTTTTGGGACTGATAACGTGGGATGTCAGAATGACATTTAAAGATATACAACTGGAGTCATAAGAAGTACATTACAAATAAAACCAGAGCCAATACTAGACGATCAAGTGCTGTTCCAAGATATGTGGTATGAAAAGAGTGCATGGATTATACGCCGGATGTGGCGATCAGTTTTTAACGTGTGCCCGCTCTGCATGTCCGACAGACGACCCATGGTGCTACACCGGTCGCGAAAAGCAGAATATTAACAGGGTGTGTCCTTTTATGACCCCAATGCTTCACAAAATTTGAAAAAATTCGATAAAAAGTATAGCTTATAGCCTCTATCGTGTGGGCATATAAAAGTGATAACGTTCTGGGAGAATATAATAATTAAAGAAATGGATGATTGAGAAAATCGAAAAAGGGCCAATCCCGATAATATGTTGGGGAATAAAACTGCGTAATTTTGTTTTAAAATCCCTTAAAATCCTCTACCAAAGGGCCGAGCAACTAACTCAATATTTGTGATACGTTTTCAAACAACTTAAACCTGTCGGTCTTCATCTGGAAATGGAGACCGGTGTACCAAACTGTATTATGCGGCTTATGGATAAACCAGACTTTTACTTTATCAAAATAATGTGTAGATGAAATTTACCTTTCGTTATCAAGTATAGCACATGGGTCATTCATTGTTTAATCCTCTAAAGGAATGGGAATCGATTATCAGGTCACCCAACGAAAAAATAACCAGAAATCTTAAAAGGGTTACGTGTGCGGATAAGCATTTATGACGTTCACGTCCAAACGACTAAATATTGTGAGCTGAATTTTTGAGACCAGGTAAAACACATCATTCCTCTATATTTTGGCCTTAAATTTCAAATGTACTCAGGTGTCGAGGTTAGGTAAAAAAAAAGAAAGACAGAGATGTTAAACTACAGAGACTCTTGTTAGGCTATTTGAGTAACATCGATTGAAAAATGTTGTTTAAAAGAGGTGCCTGTAGACCATAAAATGATACTTAATTAGAAAGAACTTAAAGCACAGAATTTAGAGGATGAATCCTCGGGGGAATACATTAAGGGATATATTATAAGCACAAAACAAATTGGGCAAGTTCGTTGGACAAATTTGAAAACATAATCTGTTTCTATACAAATCCTGATTGCTTACGAATAAAATTTACGACCTTGAACTTTATGATGAAAACATTAAACCACAAGTAATGGCAATTATTTAAATAAAACCAACGAACAGTGTCTGAGATTTCATTAGCGGGATATGAATTGCTAAAATAAATCGGAAGCGATGTATTCATATAAATACAAAACACATAATAATGAAATTTAGTTGATAACAGACTTTCTACATGTCCATGGACCAACATTTTAATTAATAGATGGTGATGAAATTTTAACAGGAAGCCCATATTGTAGTAGTAAAGGAAGTGATACAAACGACGAGAACCTTTTCGATTTAATATTAGAAATAAACATTACATCAATAGAAAATGTACAAAGAATAGTTACGAAATTTCTTCCAGGTTGAAATTATTGATACACTGAAAAAAACTTGTGTTGAAACAACACAAACTTGTGTTAAATTCAACACAAGTTAGGTGTCTCTATTTAACAACACAAACTTGTGTTAAAACAACACAAAACTTGTGTTAAATGTTGAAACAACACAAAACTTGTGTTAAAATGTATCAAACAACACAAAACTTGTGTTGAAACTTGTGTGAAATCTACACAATACTTGTGTTGAAATTTCTGAAACTTGTGTTAAAATTTCTGAAACTTGTGTTGAAATTTCTGAAACTTGTGTGGTTTCATACAAACTTGTGTATAACCATCATCAAAAACATGTGTTGTATTTTTCCCCAATTTATATCCAGCATAGCAACCTTTCTATGCAGGACCCCTCTCTTTGCTCTGTTAGACCTGTAAAGTTTGATAAAAGAAGGAAACAAAAAAAATGTTTGTAAGATTATTATTTATTCATAAAATCATAGGAAAAAGTAAATTAATACATCAAAACTAAATAGATATTTGAAATGTTAACAGAAAAACAGAGACTTCAATTCTAATACAAATTATATTGTGTTATATATAATGACCCCTCCCCCCACCCACTTTACCCATCACAAAATATAAAATAGCTATTTAAATTGTTTTTTGCCCCACACACTTTACCCATCACAAAATATAAAATAGCTATTTAAATTGTTCTTTACCCCAAAACAAGAACTGAGAATATAAAGATATGTACACAGTATCCCTACCCCATACCCCAAAATATATAATTCAAATATATCTAAATTTAATAACATCCAAACTAAGCACTAATAAGATTAATTATGCACTAAATTGAAACAATTTCAAAAACTGAAAAATGCTACAAAATCACACTACAAGTGATTTGTGAGGCATCTAGAAATAACTAGCATACACAGAAAACTAACAAAAGAAAATTGCTCTATTTTGCAGGAGTAATAAAATGATGTAGAGCCTTTTCCTCATTAAAAAAACCCCAAACAAAATGAATATTTTATAAATAAAAGAAGCAAAGCATCAAGATTACAGGATTGAAATAAAAAAATATCATATGTACAAAAGATTTATATACAATCACAAGTCATAAGCCACAGTGGTTCAGTGAGCATAAGGCGTTGGCCGAGAAATTTCAACTGGATTTTCCGGCATAGTTCCCACTTTTCAGTATTGGATATGGCAAGGGATAATTGGGTACAAGCCCAGAATCAAAAGAGAGAGAGACAGAGAGAAATGGGGTTTAACGTCTACTCGACACAAACTAGGTCATTTTGGGACTAACATATGGTTTAATTTTATTTCAATAATTCGCTAGCGCGTAGGGGTCTTTAGCAGTGGGAGGAAACCGGAGGTCCCGGAGAAAACCCACAAGATTGGACAGGCGACCCTACTCCTTGTCTACAACCGGGGATTCGAAACCATGCCAGTTGACTCAATGACAGGAGGCCGTATGATACAGCATGCACGTGCTAACCATTCGGCCATCCACCCCCACCCCCCAGAATCGAAACCAACCCAACTGCGTACACTTTGAAGAACCCTTGAAAATTGAATTATTTGAATCAATGACAGACCTTCTGATCAAATGTGTGCGTGTTAACCATTCGGCCCCCCTGGGTACCCTTTAAAGAACCCTTGACAGTTGAAATATTTGATATAAGGGTAGGGTAGAATCACTCTAAGAACACAGAAAAGCAGGATATTAAAACGTATTTCATTTCATAAGCAAGGGAAAGTCACCTTAATGTAGGTCAAGGTTTTTTGTAATTCTGGGTGTATTTGATCTACATTTGGTTTCTAGTAATGCCTATTAAATACTTTATGATTTCCGACCAAATTCTAAGTGATTTATATGTCAGTTTACTTGCTATATTATACATACATATTTGAAGAGAATTAAAATCTAGTTGTGTTTTGGAAGAAAATTTAACATTAATAACAAAAAATAAATATTTAAAAATTGGGTCAAATGCATTCTTTCCCAGAAGTATAAAATAAATTGATGCTTGGGTTCTCTTGTTGTTATCATACATCAAATACTCTTTCAAGGGTGTTCCAGCCTAAAAAATAAAAAGTAGGCAATAAGAATACAATGTTTAAATAAACAATTTATTTTGCCACATCGAGACTGAGTCTCTATTTGGTTTCAACTTTGCGTAACGCTTATTGTGTCTTGTCCACTAAAAGACCCAGGCAGATTATTATGCTCAAATCAAATGGGTTAAAAGTCAGAAAAATGAAATGAAATGGGGTTTAACGTCCTACTGTTCTGCTCCTATACTGGGCTAATAATGACGGGCATATGCCACACAGTGTGCTATGAGGGAATTTTTGCCCGGGCAGCGGCACTATCATCTATTCTTATATCGAATTCCAACTGCCAGGGGATCTTTTACGTGCATTCCAATATTCCAAAAGTCTTGAGATTTGGGACTGAAGTCTCATAATAGGTCAACTATTCACCCGGTTCATACATGTATTGTCTGCAAATCCAGATTCCCTACTACATCATTGGCAGCACCTATTTACTTGGCAATGTCTAATTATTTTTGGACCCATTCTTATTTTATTTCCATTGACAACAAATTGGATATTACCCTTTAAAATCTATTTGAAAAGTAAAATATTGTCCATCATTATTTTACTGCTATTTACTGTAAAAATACACATAGGCCCTATCATAACTTGAAGGAAATCAATGGATGTGATTGGCATAAATCAAGCATGCCAAGTACTTGAAATAGCTGAGTAATAGGCATTGCCCCAAGAAGAATAACTAGATTACCAAGCAAGTGTATAAAACTACTTCCTGATTAAAAATACAAATATGTATGGTACTTACATTTTGCCTGATTATCAAGCTCTGTGAGAAAAGTTTCCACAATATGAATAGCCATTTCCAACTGTTTTTATCTTTCTGATGTAGTTAACTGGAAAAAAACATACTATGTATTAGATGACTTAAATTGACTCAACAGTTAAAAGATGAAAGTTTTAATTTACAGTCTATATTTTACACAAATTTCTGGAGAGAATTAAAATATAATTGTGTTTGAGAGGGATATTTAACATTAAAAACAAAAATAAAATGCAACTGATAACTTATTAGCTTTTACAATCACTATATTCTTTTTCAAAATTATAAGGAGATCACATGGCTAAGAGGGTACGACGCTGGCTCACTAGCCTGGAGGTCGGGTGTTCGATCCCTGAATTGGCTGAGAAAGTTCATCCAGATTTTCCGACGTGACATCCCCTTGTCAGTGATACAGGACGGAGGACCTGACAAGGACAGCTGTCTAGTCGTTTGGATGGGATAAAAAAACGAGGTCCTGTGTACACATTGGCGTGCATGTAAAAGATCCCTTGGCAGTTGGAATTCGATATAAGAGTAGGCTGTAGCGCCACTGCCCGGGCAAAATTTCCCTCATAGCACACTGTATGGTGTATGCCCGTCTTCATTAGCCCAGTTTATGAGCAAAACAGTAGGATGTTAAACCCCATTTCATTTCATTTTCAAAATTATAAAATAATTTGATTGCTTAATATTCAAGTATTATGACCAGGTAGAATTAGAGCATAGTTAATTTGAGGCCAGAGCCATTATAGATCAGCCAGAATCCTAATTAAAATAAACTCTGTAATTATATTAGAGAGACATTGTTTCATAAATTATTATCTATTGTAAAGTTATTCCAGTAAGGTATTAAGGATTATATTGTAACTAAAAACAAAGCTAAGGTATAAAAGTCCTAAAAATTGTATATATTAGAAAAAGGCGAGTTAACCACAGGCAGGCAGCGGGACATACTGAAGGGCAGGTCTCTGATATAGTGACAAGTTATTTCTTAGATGCTGTTCCTTATTAAGTTACTTATCCTGTGGGTCAGTATTATATGTATATATTATCTTTGTTAGATATTGTTACAGAATATAAGATTATACTAAGAGAAGTGAGTTATTGAATTATTGTATGTTCAATCGTACACCTCCAACTAGATTGAACATACAACCCATCGTCGAAGGTTGGACTATAAGTAGGTCCATAAACCCTGGATGATAGTATGTGGTTGAGTTGGCAATAAATATACTTTCTACGGTTCACAATTTTTAAATAAATAACTTATTTTTCCACACGTTGAGTCTCTATTTTGTTTCAACTTTGCATAATACTTATTGTGTCTTTTCAAGTTACAGACCCAGGTAGATTATTATGCCTCAATGGGTCAGAAGCCAGAACAAAAGTCTTGAAAAAAAGACAAAATGAAAAAATAATCATTTAATTTACCAATTATCTCCACTAAGGCAGTGGTGAATACAGTATTGCAAACAGTATTACAATATGATATTAATTATATTTTACAAATTCATGCATTTGAACGCTTTATAATAATGATTATGAAAGGGTGTAACATTGCATCCATCTTATAGTTTTGAAGTCATATAGGTCTTTAGCAGTGGGAGGAAACCGGAGGACCTGGAGAAAACCCACGAGGTTGAACAGGCAACCCTACTCCTTGTCACGTACAACCGAGGATGACAGGCCGTATGATACAGCACGCACATGCTAACCATTCGGCCATCCAACCCCCCCCCCCCCCACCAAGTGTATAGAACCAGTTCCTGATTCAAAAAGCAAATATGCATGGTACTTACATTGCCTTTGTCTGATAAGCAACCTCTGTAAGAAAACACTTCCACAATATCAATAGCCCTTTCCAGCTGTCTTGATCTTCCGAGGTGGCTAACTGAAAAAAAATATGCAATGTATTACATTAGTTGGCTTAAATTGACTAGACAGTTTTGATTAAGTCAAAAAATGTTAATTTAACTACATTTGTTTTGTTTCATGTGTTGGTTTGCTTTGCCACAGATGAGACAGTCATATCTAACTAAGATTCTGTCTGTGCTCATACATGTACGTGTACAGTTTTACTATACTAAACTGAATTTTAGATTTCAAAATAGCATAACAGCAATCTTTTCTATAAGAATTGAATAGTTACCCACCAAGAAAAAGCTGCTCTATCATCATTTTTTCCAGCCATTTCTTCTTCCATTTTTTTACTTTTATAATTTCTTTTGTTACATGATCTTTTCCTGGGTGATTTGCATATACATCCAATATTGAAACTGAAAAAATAAATACATGATATGTAATTTACCATTAAAGCTACCATACCATATATACAAACTGTGTGATTTGAAACTAATGTATCTATATGTATCAAAAATTTTAATCCCAAGGAACTACCTAAGCCGTAAAAATCTATTTTTATAATCCTTGTTTGTCACATGGTTTCAATGTCGCAGTAATTAGAAGACGACCATGGTGACTGAGTGAGTTAGGTGCTGGAATACTAGCATGGAGGCCACAGGTTACCTCTTGGGGTTGACCGAGAAAGCTCATCTTGATTTTTCAGAGTGGTTTCCCCTGAGATCCAATGTACACATTGGCGTACACATAAAAGTTCTCTTGGCAGTTTGACTCACTCACTCACTTGTTAATTAGCGTTTGCCCTGTTAACATCTATTCTTGTGCTTAGTGGATTATTGGATTATTAGGATCAAACTATACTGTAAGTTATTCTTATTCTCTTTGCTTTTATTTGTTATCTGTTCTTAAGTATCTAGCCAAATTCGTCATCTGAACAACTCAAGTTAGCGGGCGGGCTAATCTTAGTTGTTCAACAAAAGTCAGGCTTCAGACTTTCGTCACCTTTCGACTCCTTCCCCAACCAGCTCTCGCATCAAAATCGGTGCCGGAGTATAAATTTATCGTATTATGTACTCCCAAAAATGGGAAATCCTTTAAGGGCACCAAGGTGTCCAAAATAGGAGATGAAATCCGTATGAAATGGGGGACAGCAGCTCTCCCAGACATACGGATCCTTGCCAATGGAAATGTTAGGATTGCATTTCAAAACATGGAAGATGCCCAACTGGCCACCACTGTAAAAATATTAGGGACCCTCAACGTAGAGATCTCCATGTCGGAGCACAACCAAACGGACAGGGTAATTGTTTACAACATCCCTAAGGACTATTCGGACGACGAAATAAAAGAAAATTTAAAACTAGGGGGCTATAATCCATTAGCCGTCTACCAATACCCAGTAAGGCAGGGAAAAAATATAAGAACCGTTCAAATCACTTTCAATAAAAATGAAACACCGCAGGGAATAATCTATATGTTGTACGAGAGACGTCCCGTACACCCATATATCCCCAAGGTCAAAATATGCACGAAGTGTCAAAGGATAGGACACGTTGAAAAATTCTGTAGGAGTGAGGCCATATGCGGGAAATGTGGAAACTCCCACAACACCAAAGACTGCAGGGCCTCACAGTTAAAATGTGTCAATTGCAGAGGCAACCACGGTGCCGACTCACCGACATGTCCAAAATATCTAAGCACAAAGTCCGTACTAAACCTACAATATACGCATGGCATCAGCCACAGAGAAGCAACGGCACACGTTGCAAATAAAACAATGCCTAAAAAAACGACAGCACCATCAATTAATAATAAGGAAGTCCCCCAAAAATTGAGCAAAACCGAATCCGATAAATCGTTTACGCCCCAATTCAAAGGTATAAAAGAGTTTGTCAGCTTCTGCAAAGAGTTGACAAAACTCGGCTCAATTAAAAATGAGGAGGAAAGAAACATTCTAATAGGGAAAGTAATATTAAACACATCAAATTTGATTACAATAACCAAAACCCCCAAAAATAAGGGAAAACCTTCCCAAACAGAGAAAACGGCAATAAACACTGACATGCCCCCACCCTCCGAAACTAAAATTAAAGATCGCAGAAGCCGAAGCCACTCAAGGCTGTCGGCAAAAAGAAACATAGATTTAGTTGCTACAGATGACGAAGACAACTCAATTAGATATGGGGATAATCCCATGATCACTGAGACCGAAATTCCTAATCAAAACAAACGTACATGCAGTACAAGCAATAAGGAAGACGGATTGTAAACATACTAATAACTTAAATAAACAAATCATTATCATTTACAATGGAGAAGCCAATCACAATCTTTCAACTCAATGTGAATGGGCTGCGGTCTCGTTTGATAGAACTCAAACAATATGTCTATCAAAACAACCCAGACATACTGTGTATACAAGAGACACGATTAACTCCCAAAAACAATGATATCAATTTGGACAGCTACACAATGGTAAGGCATGATCGACCGGGCCAATCAAAAGGAGGCGGTCTCGCCATTTATGTCAAAAACAACATTCCTTTTAGCAGGTTAACAATAAATCAAACAAGTAAATTAGAGTTAATGGCGATTGACATTGCTATAGGAAATAACCAAACGTTAAGCATAGTAAATGTCTACAACCCACCAGCTACTAAAATAAAAAACAAAGACTACGATAGGATTTTCAAACAAATTCCGGGAGACAACCTAATCATTTGTGGAGACTTCAACTGCCATCATAAGGCATGGGGCTCACCAGCGAGCGACACAGATGGGAAGGAACTGTACGAGTACATAGAAGGCAGCAGCCTTCTACTACTCAATGAAAACAATAGCGAGCCAACTTTCATAGGGAAAAACTCTAAAAAAGGAACCCATATTGATCTGACACTAGCCTCAACAAAACTATTCCCTCATTGCAATTGGGGAGTAGGAGACGAAACTTTAGGCAGCGATCACATAGCAATCCACACCGCCATAGCCTACACCGCCAACTCAGAAAACATCAAATGTCAGGCTAAATGGAAAATGGACAAGGCAAACTGGGAACTATACAAAAAATTATGCAATGGCTGGGACTTCGAGTCAATAAGACATGACTATATCGATACCTTTTCAAATAATCTAACTAAGGCAATAATTGGCTCAGCAGAGCAAGCTATCCCCCGAACTAAAGAAACCAATAGGAAATCCCCCAAACCTTGGTGGTCAGAAAATCTTCAGACTCTAGTCAACAACCGAAAATCGGCGCTACGAAAATACAAACGTAGGCCGAATGAGGAAACAAAAAATGGCTACCATGAGGCAAAACTGTCCGCAGAAATCAAAATCAAACAAGCCAAAGAAGAAAACTGGCAAAAGTTTTGCAGCTCGCTTAATGATCGAACAAAAATTAAAACAGTATGGAACAAAATATCAGGAATCACCGGTAAAAAAGTAAGACAAAATATACCTCTATTAAACTATAAAACAGAAACAGCCCTAAATAATACGCACAAAGCAAACCTGTTAGGCCAGACTTACGCGGATGGCTCAAGCAACAGCCAACACAACGAAACTTTTAAGGCCATTAAAAACAAATTTTTAAAAACCCAACCGCCAATAATACACCAAGATGCGGATAACGAAACAGATCTCAATAATCCCATTAATATAGATGAGTTAAAAAAAGCTTTACGGACGAAAACCGACAGTGCAGAAGGGCTAGACTGTGTAAAATACACAATGCTGAAAAATCTACCCGAGAAAGCACTGGCGTTAGTCCTTGATATCTTTAACCTCTCATGGACGAAGGGAAAAACTCCACAAGAATGGAAAACTGCCTCAGTAATTCCCCTACATAAGCCAAATAAAGACAAAAACGAAACAACGTCGTATCGCCCAGTCAGTCTAACATCCACTTTATGTAAAACACTAGAAACAATAATTACAAACAGACTAAAATTCCACTGTGAAAGCAACAACATCTTCACGACACAACAAAGTGGCTATCGTTCCGACAGGTCGACAGCAGACCATATCATTAGATTACAACATGATATATCAAAAGCTTTCACAGCTAAACAATATCTATGCGCGATTTTCGTTGATTTAACAAAGGCCTTTGACCTTGTATGGGTGGATGGTCTCTTGCACAAACTCCATAACGCGAAAATCAAAGGAAGAATGTACAAGTGGATAGAAGACTTTCTAAACGATAGGCACATTAGAGTACGTGTAGGTAATTGCTTAAGTGACAAATTCAAAATGGAAAACGGAACGCCGCAAGGATCCGTTATCAGCCCAATATTATTTAACATAATGATAAATGACCTTCCTAGCTACGGGGGGAAGGGCACTGAATCCGCACTATTTGCTGACGACAGCTCGTTCTGGAAAGCTTCAAATAACATAGGCATAATCAAAAAATCGCTTCAATATACCCTAAAACAAATCTCAAAATGGGCAAACGATTGGGGTTTTAAAATCTCAGAAGGGAAAACAGTGGCAATGCTGTTTCACCCGACTGACACTAACAGGAAAATCGACTTAAGTCTTAACGGCTCAAAAATTGAATTTAAATCAGAAGCCAAATTTTTAGGAATGATATTTGATTCAAAACTTTTCTTGAAAGCACATATAGATAGCGTAGTAAGTCGCACATCAAAAACACTCAATTTAATGAAATACATCAGAGGAATGGAATGGGGCGCAAGCAGAAGTACTCTTATGCTAATATACAGAGCATTCATCCGCTCGGTAATCGACTACGGATGTCTAGCTTATGCAAATGCAAGTGATGCACAGCTCAATAAATTAAACATAATACAAGGAAAGGCATTAAGACTAGCCACAAGAGCCGCAATAGGAACCAAAACAGTTGCCCTTCTACAAGAGATGGGAGAACTCCCGCTTGATCTTAGACGAGAGGAACTGTCACTCAAGTATTGGGGCAAACTGCAAATGCTAAAAGAAAATGTCCGACATATAAGTGCCTCCAACAATTCAAACGAATAGGCTATAGGAAAAATACGCGTCCTATGACATTCGGGCAAATGTCAAACGATGTCTTAAATAAACACGGTTTAAAAGGGACAATAATAGAAACAAAAACTTATCCCGTCACTCCACCCTGGCAATTAAGCAATCCAATCATACAAACAAACACGATAATCCCATAGAGGCTAGAGCACTAACACTAGAGCTGATAGACACAAAATGGGCAGACTATATTAAAATCTATACAGATGGGTCGAAAAATAATACACAGGGACTAACAGGGTACGGCATTTTCATCCCCAAAGTAAAGCTAAACATCAAGAAAAGGATACCAGAACATTGCTCTGTGTACACCGCAGAATTGATGGCCATTAAAACTGCAATCGAATGGCTTGCCACCCAAAAAGCCGTTATCCTATCAGACTCACTAAGTAGCATTAAATCCATCGAATCAGACTATTCCAAAAGCAGACAGGACATAATCCACCAAATTAGATATATCATTCAAACAATCAAAAATAACGGAAGAGAAGTAGTCCTTGCATGGATCCCTTCCCACATCAATATCTTCGGCAATGAACAGGCTGACAAGCTAGCCAAGGAAGGGTTGACATTAACTGATATAGAAAATTTAGAATACAGCAGTCAAGAATTCACAAGCATAGCCAAAGATAAAATTAAAAATGTTTGGAAAACCCGTCTAAAACAAGAGAATACTCATCGCTATCAAATTGATAGCAATCTTGTAGACAAGGTTTACACCAATCAT